TGTACGGCTACGTAACGTGTTTTTTAAGACGAGCTTAATGAAGAGACCAGTCGTACGCCTTGCTACGTACACGTTTATTTTCCTCAAAAGAGTTCCAAGTGGTAGTACTAGTAGTAGTAGCGGTAAGAGACCAGTTAGGAGCGTATACGCGGCGAGAGGCGCGCGCAAGGAGGTATTATTAAAATATCGGTCGGATGTACAAGCGTGATAAAAGTTTCCACGCGCCACGGTGGTCGCTCGTACACACCGAATGTATGCCGATACACAGATAAAAACTTGCTGCTTAACAGATGTTTGTTTGTAACGTTTTTTTTCCTCGCCTCGTTATTTATTTCGCTCGTTATGTAGAGACTTGTTTTACCCCCGTTTTTTTTTTTTTGCCGTATTATTATTTTCCGTCGGCAACGTATTCGACGAAAGCGCGCGAACGCGAGACAATTGGTGCGCCGATACAGACATATAAATTATCCACCGAGTAAAAGCTCGCGTCGAGCTTTTTTCGCGGGTGTTGGCAGGCAACAAAAAAAAAAAAAAAAGGAATACATTTAATGCGATGGCAAGTCTTGCGCAAGCTCGCTCGCGTCCCCTTCTCTCGCATGTATACGACTATACACGCGACCCGATAGCGGCAACAGCAGCTCGGTATGGCACAACCTCAAAGGCTTATGAGCGCAAATAAGTGTACACGCTCTATTTTGCATCGATGTAGCTCGCCACTCGCTCGCTCGCGCGCACACACAGACTTGCTGCTGCTGCTGCTGCTGCTTGTGCCGATGCTGATCTGCCTTGTGTGTAGTTCATCACATTGGAGAGGGCAAACGGAGATAGGATAGAGAGAGAGAGAGAGAGAGAGAGAGAGAGAGAGAGAGAAAAGTGACAGAGGAGAAGGGTTACAAAGCTCCGATACGTTAGCTCTCTTGCGATCATTTTTTCCTTTTTTTTTCTTTTTCGCCTTCTCTTTCTCTCTCCGAGGCTGGATATATCGAACGCGCGCATAGGTAGCGAGTTTTTGAGCTAAAATTAAAAGTCCACCACTTGTTTGAGTCTACATACATACACACGCGCGAGTGTGTATACGTGCGACAAAAGCGAGCTAGGCGTCGTTTAGCATCCTAGGAGTAAACTATACTACTCAAGGTTGTCCCGCGCTCCACCTTATAAGCTCGCACAACCAGCCCATACAGCACACAGGCTGGCCGACTATAAAGGTGTGCGCTTATTTGTTCGCTTAACTCGCCTTTTTTTTTTTAATTTCATCGTCTTCTTTTTTTCTCCCTCTTTTTTCATTATTCTCCACCGCTAACCTCCGGAAAATATGAATTACAATCTCCATTTTTTTTATGTATGCCGCACGCGCGACGAGCTCGTCGATGAACGCAAGCGCCGATCACGCGTGCTCTCGTTGTTATTATTTTTCTTTCGCTCTCATCGAGGCGTTGAAAACTTTTGTTTTTGACCCGAACGGCCATGCGTGTGTGGGGGCACGCAAAAGGACGCGTTTGTATTTGTTGTATACGCAGGCAGAAATATGAATCCGACGGGTGCGCCCTGCATACCAATACGCAAAGCACTTGGATTTTTTTTCGAAACTCGGATATCGTTTCGATTTGCGTACACGTATTGCATACGCATAGAGCGGACTTGGACGTGTGCGCATTTGTATATTTGGATTGGCGCTAAAATTTTGGGCGCTTAAATCCTGCCAGGATAAATCGCTGACCGACCCACATACGACCTCACGCTCTGTCGCAATTTATTAACGAATAAATACATACAATAACAGCTGTGGAAATTAATGGATAAATCATAGAGATTAATCGAGTGCTTATGTGGGTGAGCTGAAGCAGCTGAGCGGGAAGGGGGTGTAAGTCGTCTCTGTCAATTGCGGCAGCTCTTCAGATCTCTCCGCGCAAAATCTCGAATTCAATTCAGCCACGGATCGAACTCGTGCTTGTACGGTATACCTTCGGCATTCAATGTGTCCCCTAGTGCACGTGGTAAACGTATATAATAAGGCAAACTTACGCATACACACGCGCGCATATATACGTACGCATTTAGACACGTGCCCGTTGCTATTGCCTTTAGGCGGTAGCTTATATATCGATTCTGGTTCGTTAGGAGCTTTAATCCGCTGTTCTGTATAAATTATTCTTTTGCCGCGAATAGCCGAGCTTCAAGTCGCTCAAGATCTACGAGAGAGTGCGAGCTTTCTCTCCATTTTAGACATTAAAATAGCGTATAATTTTATTTTCAAACGAAGGTAATTTCACGAATTATTAAATATTTCCAGCCAAGAGTACTACGCGTGTAATGTAAGATAAAACACAGGGAGAAAAAAGAAATCAAGAGCGATAAAAATCCAAAGATCTCTTACGAAGGTAAAATACGGTACGTATACCACGTATACGACGTCGCTGGAGCGCTGAAAGCTAAAAAAAAAGAAAAGTTTCGTGAGTGCTTTGCCTGATACTGTATATCGATTCGACTGGGATACTTTTCTTCCGATGTAGCGTATATGTATAGCGAATCACCTCGTCCAAAGAACGGCTCGCTCTTTTCCTCTATGTATATGCCACTGGAGTTTTCGGTCGAGTGCCATTTTATTTTAACTCCGCGATGATTCAATTGATAAATTCGACTCTTTTTTTTTTCTATAGGAGGTATATAAAAGAATGTGTCGACGCACACGCGCGCCAACTTTCTGACCATTGAACGAGAAAATAACAAAAAAAGAGAAAAAAAATAGGTCGAAGAATATTAATTCCCCTTTTCTTTCTCTCTGTTTTTTTCTTTCTTTTTTATTTTATTTTTTTTTTGTTCACTTTGATCGCGGCGCGGACCGAAGGAAAACACTGTACACACGTGCGAATGCGCAAAGCTCACCATGTATTTCTAGGAGCTTCGAGCCTTTCTCGTAGACTCTCTCTTTAATATACGTCTTCGATTCGCATATCGCAGATGAGTGTATAGAGGAACTAATTAATAACGTATATAGAATGACATTAGCCGTGTATGGGTGAGTAGTCCACCGAGACTACCTCAAGCCTAATTACACCGAGTCACGTACAATTTTTCATCGTTTAATTGATTCCACATGCTGCGCCTATATAGGACGCTCTTTATACTTACCTATCCAGCGTATCTATATAAAAGCTCTATTCTCTCGCCTACACAATGTAGTGCGTCGTGTTTTTGAGCTTTGTCTCTCTCTCTCGCTTTCGAGCATTATTTGTGCGTTCGCTTCAAGTACGACGAGCACACGCGTTTTAATTGGAAAGTTTACTCGCGCTCGCGCATCGACACACTGGCACGCAAACACACAAACTCGAAATACACACACACGCACACTTATGCGCAAGCACGAAGAGCGAGTTGTTAATTCCTGCTGTCTGAATAATTATGAATAATAATGCTAATCGGATGTACGCGCGCAGCGACTCGTGTGTGCGTGGAGGAAGCTAAATTGAAATTCGCAGCAGCTCGTTTGGTTTGGAGGGTGGCTCTGTGTGTGTGTGTGTGTGTGTGTGTGTGTGCAGCCCCCGAAAAAAAAGGATAATAATGATAATAACTGGTCCGTGAGCCGCTTTGCAGTATTTATCCCGAAAAGAGCTTTATGTCTACAGAATGCGTAAATGAAAAGATGAAATTGGAAACGAAAAACAAATTTCGACGACACTGTCCACGTGTGTATGTTTATTTACGTATATGACGCGTTGAACGCGACGCTTTGATCCCCCTCGATTCCAAACTCACACTTTCGGTGTAACTTAAAGCTCCAAGAGCTCGACGAGCTCGCGTTGATTACAATTACTGTTATGTTAGCAAGCCCGAAATAGAGCATACTTGGATTTATAATTTTTTTTTCGCTCGAGCTAATTATTTTTCAAAGCGTGCATCTTGGACATTGGTGAGTAAATTAGAATCGCTGCACTGTACGTCTTCGTTCCTTTTTTTTGCCCAAAGAGAAAAGTAGAAGCGAGCCCGAAAAAAGGAGAAGAAAAAATTAGAATAAACCGAAGCGTTGCTCGTTATATACGCGCGCGACGCAAAAGTCCTAGCTGTAATATCTTTGAAATATAATAAGCCAAGCTCGGCTCTCTCGCACTCCCGGCACTGGTGCACACTGTACAGGGCAGCTTTACCAATGACAGCGGCAGTTCGTCTCCTCCTGCCCCTTCGCCCGCAAGCCCAGCTGAATTAATCCCTCTCTCCGGGACGTAATTTTTCTCTATCCTCTTCATTATCATACGCAGTACGCGGGGGCAGCGCTTCTTTCTCTCTCTCTCTCTCTCTCTTTCTCTTTCTCTTACAGCTCTCGCGCAGCTTACCCGCGAGCCGCGCGATGGTACAATGAACGATTGATCATTTATGCGCGAGATTCCGTCATTAATTTGCCCGGGCTGCGGCTGCTGCTGCTGCTGCGGCAATACCGGGGCAAATCGTGCACGGGCGCCCGCGAGTATTTTCGTAATTATACAGGGCTCGAGCAACACGAATGAGAAGTTTACGACGTGTATCGATGCCCAGCCATAATATTATCATGATCCTATGTCGTATTGTTGCGCTCGATCCAGAGCTGTAGCTAGACCTGAACTCGTGTACTCGTATGCGGCGTATACGCGTCTTGCGATCGCAAAACTGGGTCGTATAACTTTACCGATGCGGTTGGTTAATACTTTGGGCGGAGTTATGCGCCTTCGTTGAATAGTTAGAAATTAGTAAGAATAATATTCAGATGGCCCGCAGATGACGATGATGGCCGAGTTAAGTGGAATGCCAGAGTGAGTTTACAAAGTCTATGTACCAGATCGCTATGGTATGCTATCGAGCTGTTGCGTTAATTAACCTATTCCGGAATAATTTATACAACACGCTATAAAATGTCATTTAAAGAATCTTTTATTAACGAAAAACATTCGCGCTTACATCTCGCTCACTTCTCGACAATGTTCACACTTTGAGAATCGACGAATCGTCTATTCCAATATATCGCTGCACTGGTAAAGAGAAAAAAACCAAAGAGAACAAAATATTTCTTAAAAGCTACGTTATCGGCGGTTATTCACAAAGCCTCCGCCGCCGCCGGGTAGGGCTCGACCAGGGGGAGGCCCAGCCTCTTGGCGTGCCTGTCAAAGTCCTCGGTGCTGCAGCAGTAGGTGTAGCCCCGCTTGAAGTCGGCGAACTCCTTGTAGTCCTGCTGGCACTTGTCCAGCGGCTCGCAGATGACGTTGCGCTGGTCGGCCGACTCGAGATGGGGATTGTTCACCGTGACGAAGACGACGCCCTGGCGCGTGGACCGGTCGACGGCGTAGCGGAAGAGAAACTGGGCGGGGCGCAGATCCTCCGGCAGTGTGATGTAGGTCGTCAGGCCGATCTTGTCGGGCAGATAGAGGGCCAGGTACGTGCCGGAGAACACGTCGACCTTGCTGTAGTGCTTGCGCGAGTAGTCGCGGATTATGCGGTCGGTGAGGGCCCAGTTGCCCTCGGCTACGCTCTGCCAGACGGGCGTGGTCAGCTCGTAGAACACCGTGGCGTTGGACTGCGCCTCGAAGACAAAGTCCTCGGGCTGGACCAGTTGAGCGGGCGCGAAGTAGTCGCTGCCTTTTTGGTCGCGACAAAATCAATCGGTCAGAATAACCACCAAAGCTCAACGGAGCTGATCAAAGAGCAAAAGCTGCTTACCGTTTAGCGGCATGTACTTGTCGACGATCTTATCGCCCTTGAAGATGACTTTCATGGCTTGTCTCTGGTACATCCTGTCGTAGGCCAGCTTGTAATCCGTCTCGCCCGACAGCGGCCCGTACTTGAGCTTGAGCTTGGACTTGGCCTTCTGCTCGCTCATCGAGGCCAGCGGCAGGACCGAGTAATGCGCCCAGCGCGGTATGTAGCCGCGGCTGATGCGGCTCACGGCGATCTCGTCGATCACCGGCACGAAGTGGGTCGAGTCGACCCTGAAGCCCACCTGGGCTATCGTCTTGCCGATCACGGTCTCGTGCTTCGTCAGCCGTGTGATCGGCTCCTGGTAGGCCGAGCAGCCGATGTCGCGCAGTTTCGCCTGGATCTCCGTGTCGACGATCTGCACCGTTTTGCCGTTCACGCACTGCACCAGCACCGATCTTGGGCGAAAGAATTATTTTCTCAGAGAAGAAGAACGGGACGATAATTTTAAAATAATGCTCGATAATTACTTGTATTTGGTCAATTCGCTGCCGATGGTGATTTTACCGGCTGTGCAGGCGAGTCGGGCGAAAGGACCCGCGTTGCTGTGGATCGGGCCCTTGCCGATGGCGTAGAACCAGTCGTAGCTGGTCGGCTTCAGGTAGAGCACGTAAGGATTCGCCAGATCTTTCACGAAGTCAAAGTTGCACTCGCCAATCGTATCGGGATCGGCCGCGTGCGGCTCGACGACGTCCAAGTCGTCATCCTGGACTTTAGGAACTTTACCCTTCTTCTCGTGCACGACGACGTCTTCTACGTTTTCGTGCACTTTCTCTTCCTTTGCGTGCGGCTCGACCACCTCCTCGTCGACTTCGACCACGTGTTTCTTGTCCTTTTTCTCGTGTACGGCGACGTCGGTGTCGGGGGCCGGAGCCTCGTTCAACTCGCTGCCTACATCTTTGAGACTAGCTGCAAAGCGATTCGAGGCCAAAAAGCCGACATTGATATGCGTACAAAATAAAAAGATGAAAAAAAAGTAGAGTTGTACGGAAAAATCGTTCGGAAAATTGTAGAAAAGTCGAGAAAAATAAAGAACGTACCGGCTTGTATTAATACTAGATTGGCTATGAGAACGAGCAGTACCGTGTACTTGGCAGCAATCATCGTTGCTGAGAGCTTGCTACGACTGCACTGTGACCGGAAGCAATTTTCTTCCTTTATATAATGTACGGGTTTATTAATTTTTTTCTCTTTTTATCAAAATCCAAGGTTTGTCCAACGATTTTTATCGATAAACAAATTGTGGGCTCGAAGCTTGGCAATCGCAAGTTTGATTTTCGAAGCGAATTTTTTTACACTTACCACCCAGCGAAGACATCGGACTGTTTGCATTGATAAGGTGAGGCGATGTCTTCGTGGGTATACAAAAAACATATTTTTAGCTTTCAACAATATATTTTGATGTGAGGTTGATCGTCGATAAAATATTTATAAAATACGTCAATTATTTTTTTGAGCATTGATACACGTAACACGCAGAAGAGGTACGCTGAGGAATTTTAAACAGTTTTCTATTCAATAATAATTTATAAAATAACAACGAAATTTTGGAAAATTTTCTGCAAATTATACTTGATATTTTATTTACTTCGATTGACTTGATCGCAGCAATTTTCGACAACCCATCATGTTATGAAATAACACGGCAGATATCATCAAAAGAAAAACGTCAATCTGAAAAATATTTTTCTTACGATCCCAAGTTGCATTTTATTTATTTTTTAAATATTAAAGTAAATAGCGTAAAAAGTTAGAAAGAGGCTACATAAAAAACGATAGTATTGAAACAAATATTTGTTCTATTATACACTGGTGAAATTCCAAACAGTGGTCCGAGCTCACTGTAAATGAGATAAATATTCGAACTTTATCGAGAAAGTGAATTATTGAATGAATTAAAAAAGGCTGGATAATTTTTTTACTTCTTTACTAAAGAATAAATACTTGTTTGCGATTATGAAAATACGTGAAAGGGCAACAAATACCATTTAAAGAGATATTTTAATTTGCAACCGCAGGAAGAGGTAAGAAATGTTTTACAATTATTCAAAATTTATTATCACCATAAAATATGCCGAAGCGATTACATAATTAAACTACAAACAGTCGTCAGCTTCGTCGAACGATGTCATTGCTGAAGCCTCCGATGGACGCGGTGCCGGGATGAACCGGCAGAGCCAAAGACCTGGCGGTGTCCATGAAATCCTCGATGGTGCAGCAGTACGTGTAGCCCATCTGCGGCTTGACAAAGTCCGGGTAGAGATTCTCGCAGACGGCCTGGCGTCGGCAGACGACGTAGCCCGGCCCGAGGACTCGATCCGAGTACCTGTGGGGCTCGTTCACGACGACGAAGACGAGGCCCCGATGGCCGCGACGATCGTACACGTACTTGAAGAGCAGACGGGGCACAGGCACCACCGGTCGATTTCGCGAGTCGTGTCCGAGGTAAATGTCGCGCTGAACCGGCAGTCCGAAGGCCGAAGGCGTCGGTTGTTGGTGCGGGCTCACGATGACGCCCGACCAGACATCCAGATCAGTGGATAGATCGCTGGCTGTACACACGGAAGCGTATTTTATATAAATATTTTTGCTCCAGCCTCGAGAAAAATTAGATTGAAAAAAAAAAATAAATAATAAAAACACCGAGTCTTACCCAATTTGCGAACTATGCTGGCCACGTAGTTCCAATTTCCGTCGTGCACGCTTTTCCAGACTGGCACGAGATTCTCCTGCAGATACGTGCTTCTCTGCTGGGTACCGTAATACAGATCGTGACTCGAGATCAGGGGACTCTCCACCAGATAATCCGTATCGAGTTCGTTGTTCGCTGCATCATACAAAACGATGGGAAAAGGTGAGCTCATCGAGAAGGAATTATTTCAGGAATTTTGATTTTTACAAGCCCTCCGGACGCTTTCAGTGATTCGTCAACAGTTGCGTCTCGAGCTGACCCACAGGTCAAAAGAGTATAAAAGAGAAAATTAAGGGAAAAAGGTTTAAAATTCGAGGCTAAAATCGTGATTGAAATTTTGATATTTGTGGAAAGAAGTTCCAACAACATGAGAAAACGTACGAACGATAACAAAGCCCAAAACTGTTCTCTAAGTTGTTTTTTGGTTGTTGGGGCATGGAAAACCTAAAGAAAATTCTCATAAAAATGACCATGTCACTGCAAATTTTCACAAAACACCTAGCTTTTCTTCATTTGAAACATTTTTCAATGCCCCATTTTTTCGTAATAATATATAAATGATATCAACGATAAAAACGTATTTATCATTCACTGTATACGCGAGAAAAATATTATGTCAATTCTCATTGATGTAATTATACTGACTTAATTTTGCCCTTTGATAATGATTGATAAATATTATCGAATTAAATTTAAGCTATACACGTAAAGACTGGCGAAGAGCATTCAGAGTCGTGCTTGTTCTGTTGTTTACATCGCCCCTGACCTCTCGGAGCTTTTGCCCGATACGCGCTGTTTTGACGTGCTTGCCACAGCGCTACGCAACAATAAGGACCGCTCGCGGAGCCGCTCGAAGCTCGAGCGTAAACTGGTGCATTTCGAATAGATAATTTTCAAAAATATATGCAATATCCATGTTTCGAGGATCGATAGAAATGTTTTCATTGATAATTGTAACGTTAAAGGCTCCTCCAACGTTTTCTCATAATGTAAAAGCAAAGTTTAAGTTTTCAAAATATTAATGAATTTTCGGAGTAAAATGAAGCACATTATAAATTACACAAGCTAATCAAATATTGAACTTCGTGCGTTGATGTTAGTTTGATAATGCTACTCTTATTTCAGTGCGCTTCTATCGCCCTAAATTAGTACGTTTTGTTTCGCGACATACGTCCATTCGAAATGAAGACAAAGTATCAATCAAAGGGTCCATTGTTTAAGCGCCTTCCCAATTGACGAAAAATTCAATCAAGATTTTAGTTCTAATGCCAAATTTGTTTTTGTGATTGTTTTTCATATAAAAAAACGTATATCATACTGATTATATCGTTGACCGATATGATGCGTGGATCCATGGACATGAGTACTCGGCGCTGATTTTCCGCACTGTAAACGTCCATCAAGTCGAAAGTGTCATTTTGCAGCACAGGACCTGGTCTGTACGCGAACATACCCGAATCTGGAAGAAAAGTTTCGAAACTTACCACGACGTTTGTGTACGCGAAAATACTTGAAAAAGTGCGATCGGTTCATATACTCGTCTGTTGACTGTGCACAGCCGCGACGATTTTCGCGTGGCTCCAGATGGGCGTCTTGGCCTCGGGATCGTAGACCACGTCCATGATGGGCAAAAAGTTGAAGACGTTGAGCTGATAGCCGGTCTGTATGCACCTCATGCCGGGCGGACAATTGACGCGTCGGAATCGGGCCAGCGGCATCGAGGCCCTGGTGCAGCCGATCTCCTCGAATCTCACGGGCAGCCGCTGTCCGGCCAGGGCGAAGGTGTCGTTGCCCGAGCAGCGCAGATAGGCCGTGCCGAGGCCCAGCGGCAGACCGCGGGCCGTGAGTTCCTCGCCGCCAGGGCAGACGAGCCGGACCTCGCTGCGAAAATTCTGCAGCTCGACGGCGGCCGGATTCTGGACGCGCGGGTACAGATACTCCGTGACGTTGGGCCTGAGGACGAGAGTCTCGCCGACGTCTCGGGTCAGATTCACGTGGCAATGGAGATCGCCGAGAGCTGCATCGAGAAATACAAGAGTAAAAATGTTCGCTCACCTAACGCGCGATTTTTCACCCTTTCGGGCGCGCCCTATTAATCATTCTCATTTCGCGAATAATCGTATCGCGCGCAGCTGTTGCCCGATACATTATAGCCGCTGCAATAAAAGATTATTCGATTATATATTTAAATGTACGATGCATGCTCACCGCATTTTGGCAAGAGTGAGGCGAAGCAGAAGAGGAGCAGCGAGCAAGAGGCGAAACAGCCGACGAGCTGGCGGGCCGAGCCAAGCCAGTGCGAGCTGGCGTCGCGCATGGTCGTGCTGTGACTATTCCGGCTCTCGAGCCACCGGTTTTCTTGCACATTTTTCTCTCCTTTTTTCTCAAAAGCTCCCCTCAAGCTGATGATCTTACGATCGTTACTAGACAAAAAGTATACAAACGAGCGGCACGACAGCAATTTGTCGTTTTTTCTTTCTTTCTTGTGCATTGTCTTATTAAACAAGCCAAGCGGAAGATGAATATGCATGTGTAAAAAAATAAAAAAAATAAACGTGTTTTATTGACAGAGTATATTACGCGTATTAGACGCGGCTTTTGTTTTGCTGTGTGCTCGGGACGCACGCGACGCCTACGAGAGACGCGCTTTTAATGACGACTCTCGCGTCTCTATGATTAAAAGCATTACGCAAGCGAATTTTTTGTTGTCATTCAAGTATTTCGGTATACGATCACACGAGCGACAGCGAACGCCGCGGCTGATTAAGATCGCTTTATACGAGATAGAATTTTCTTCTTTTCTCTCTTTTTTTTTCGATCGGGGGTAGGGTATAAAGGAAATTCTTTCCGCGCGAGGCGTCAAAGTAGTTCGCAGACACCACCTCGCGTTGCTGCCAAATTCTCTCTTTCGCCTCAGTGTGTGTGTGCGCGCGCGAGAAGAGCGTCAGCTCGCACAATACCTACACGTGTATCGTATACCCACACACACACAGTACACAGATAGGATGCAAAAGCGAGCCAAGCGTATACAGCCACTCAGCTTTGACGTCGTAGTCGCAAGCATGAAATTATGAAGCATGAAAGAGATAAAAAAGACGACGACGACGGCGCTAGCTCTGGCACTGCCTGAATTCGTTATAAAGCTATAATATAACAGCCAAATACATCGACACAGGCGCAAAATGTATAACAGGCACACACACACACATACACGAGCGACGAGCTCGAGCTGTCTCGAGTTTTTCGCTCAATTTTCCGACTCGGCCGAAGGTTGTCTTACATGGATTTATACGCGGACGCATCCACTGGATCGATGATGATCCGACGTATATCCACGAGAGCGATCCAACAAGTATACGATATACGAGTGTAGGCTACCACGAGATTTTAAGATTTAAGTTGCCATCGCGTATTCCGTCTCTGCGGCGGCGGCCTCTTACGTATGCTCGCGCGTATTTCCGGCGGATCGCTCGCGAGTGAGCAATTTTTTCCCCTCGCTGAATATTAAGTAGAACGCGGGAAAAGCGGAAGCATCCACTATACCAGCGCGACTTCGTACACCGAGCTTGCAGCAAGCGGGCAAATTTATTTATTCGTTGAATATTCAAGCGCGATATGCTCTTACGCGACACACATCAAAGACTCTCCTGCGCTGTATAGGTATACGCGTTGTGTACCTCATGCCTCTCTCTATCTATCCAGCGGAATATACATCGCGGCAGGAAAGGCAAAGCTGGGCGAGCTCGAGGCAAGCCGCCTACTTCCGTTTCTCAAACGCTAATTTTCCCAAGCGCGCACAGGCTAAAATTCAATCCAGCCAATTGTTGATACATTTCTGTGGTAAATTATGGGTCGCTCGGCTGAGGGAGTAGTTGTCAGCTTTTCCCCGGGGGTAATGTCGTATTCTCGAAACGGCACGTGCTGTAGAGAAAATCGAGGCGAGAACGTCTCGTGCAAATACTGCAGAGCAAGTTAAATCGAATTTCATTCGCACCATTCACTATTGGCTATTGTCGTTCGTTACCTTCTATACAGACACTCGCACAGACAGACAGACACAGATAGATAGAGAGAGAGAGAGAGACCGATGAAGGTAAGAGTCTCGATGTACAATACATACATATATACAGGCAGCTCGAGCTAAAGTCAAAGGAGGCATCGATTTCTTCACAGTCGATAGCTCGATGCTCTTTCTCTCTCTCTCTATACATACCCCTTGCCCCCCGCACTGCAGCCCCTTTTGCACAAGAGCGTCCGCCGATTATGAGCATTCGGCCGGGAAATCGTTTCTCACTCAAGTAACCCCAAGTCCGCGCAGTATACACCTCGTAGAAGAGAGAGAGAGAGAGAAAGAGAGCTTTCAACACGGGGATGCTGCTGCAAGCTCTCGTTTCTCTCTTTCTCTCTTTCGCACGCGAGCGGCTATGACGCAAGTGTTGCGCGCCCAACGAACCATACGCTCCACTTGCGGCCCCGTGTGTACACGAGCAATACAGCTCTCTATATGTGTATGTGTACGTGTATAATGTAAAATATATAACGCGACACATACTCGCGGAGATTTTGCTCTCCTTTTTTTTTTCGCTTCTCTCGGCTTGCCCTGCGAGCTCGTAAATCTACCCGTGCATTATTGCACGTACTTGGAGAAATGGATGGATATGGATACTTTTTTTAAATCTCCCAATGGCTATACGCACTCGCGAAGTCGGGAGATCGTTCGCGACTCGTGCAGAGATGCTCTTTATTCGGATTCAAAAATTCTGCGCCCGTCGGATACGTGGACACAGTTTATCTGATCTAAGAACGATCGATTCGTACGTAAAGTCAGCGCTATCTCAGATAACGATGCGAATCGTGGATCGAAAAAATTATTTCGATGCCGTTGTTTAACGCTTTATCGTCCCAATGAAAGTGAATGAAATTTCGCCACTAGTGCCTGCTCGCACGCATACGCAAGCGGCACACACACACACACACACACACACACACACACACACACACACACATATAGACTCGCGTGATTTCATTCGCGTATAAATCTCGCTTCTCTTCTTATAAACGTCGTCGTAGTCGTGCGCCGAGCGTGTAAGTGCTTTTACGATCGGCTTATCTTGTTTCACGCACACGTACACAAGCTGCACGCTTCGCAAACAGACACATATTCGCATTTCTAAAAAATCTCCGCTCGGCGCGCGATAAAATCTCGTAAATTTACAAGGTATATAAAAAATTTTTCCTCCGTTTCTTTCTCTCTTCTTTGCTGCTGCTCAGAAAAATGCGAGCGAGGAGCTGCCGTATAGGCCTTGATTACCTTGGAACGGCTTAATAACGTGAATATTGCTCTGGCGTTTTTCCCCCGATTCGAAATTCGACGGATTTCTTTTAGAATAGATGACATTAAAATTGTTAATTGCTTCGCGCACGGTCGGTTGAATTAAATAATTTATTCGCAGTACAAAATCCACGTTATAATACAACTCGACCGACGACGGGTGCGATGGTAAATTTTGAAAATACATCCGGTAACGAAATTCGCAGTCCACAAAAGCGGGTCTGTATGGCCGCGCGAAAAATCCCCGTCTGTCAGTGTCAGCTCTCTCTCTCTTTCTGCTCAGCTCGGCTTGGCTCTGCTCGTTCGTTCGTTCGTTCGTTCGTTAGCGACGGGGAAAATTGCAAAAGAAAATGGGGATATGCTGGTGAAGAGCATTCAAACAATTGCCTCATTTAAATAAAGCACCCGGGCAGAGACCGCTCGGGGCCGGCCATCGGAAAATCTCTGCTTCGAGCTAGTTCGTAGCCCACGTAATGTATAAAAATTGCGATGGAATTAGAATCGAATCTTTATATCTTTTTTTTCTTCTTTCTTCGATTCTTTTCTCTCTGTGGGGCGATGATTTTTCATTTCCAGTTAAAGAAAATTTGCTGCCGGGCAGCAAAAGTAATTGAATTACTGGACGCTGGGAATCGACCGAAATTTAAATAAAGAAGAAACTTCGTGCTGGTCATATGCCGAGCTCGAACGGCCCGCATATATCGCGCGCGCGAGTCCGAAAGGATTTAGCCAATATGCGCGTGGATTTCGGGCGCGTCGGATTCAGATTCGCGGTTCCAGATCGCTTTGCGCGAGCCGCATATGACGGATGGTTTTGCCACGATCTATGCCTAATAATTGCATTCGCCTCGTGAATGGCGTCAATTTCCTGCGCGACGCTATAATGGACTTTAATACGACACGCGCACGCGTCTCCGTACCTTGGCTTTGGCTTCTAAAATTGTGACCAAAAACGCGATATCGAGCAGTCACAAACTCGCGTTTCGAATGAACTCGAGTGGCTGTTGCATTTTTATCCAGGAAACAATTTATTTTTACTACAAACAAAGTAGACGAGCTTAGCTGTTGGCTGAGGTATATAGGTGGCTTATTACACAGACGCGAGGACTCGATTATTAATTCGACGATGCCATGTGCTTGGGCTACTCAATCGATAATTCGTAAAATCTCGAGTCGCCCGAGTGGATGCCAGTGCACTCGCTGCGCGCACTATGTACGAGCTGCTCTGCTTCATGCTCGAGCTTCTGCAGCTGCCTAGGCTAAGCTAGACGATGAGATAAAAGTCTGCTTATTTGAGCAGTCGCGATAAGTCGGTCAAGGTTTCGACTTCTTGCTCTCGAGCTAAGGCATATTTCATATAAATTATACATATATACATTTCTTTTTTTTTTTTCTTTATATTTTTACAAGTTTACCCTATCACTTTTTCCGCCAGCTTGGTAATAAAATATACATATAGAGGAAAAGGAAAAAAGTGAGAGGAAAATATAGTAAAATCCGAGAGCAGTGGAGCGGATTTGCATGAATATAATGTACCACCACCTGTATTACATACATTTATATAGAAGGCAAGGATACTCGAGATAAGGCGACGTAACAAGAATCGAGCATCAAAGCGAGCGAGATACCTCCAAGTATTTTGTCAAGTATGTATATATGATTATACGACTTTTAAATATAGATATTTAATAAATCACTTTTGAAGTAAATAAATATCGGCCTGAATTTTTTTCCTCCTCTCGTTTTGCAATTGTAATTAGAAAAGCTCAGAAGCACGGCTATCGAGCGACGAACCATAGCATAACAAGCCACACGCACAAGAGAGACTCGCCGTTAAAGAGAAATTTACGAGAAGGCGTTTCTCTGGCTTGACGTGCGCTTTACATTATCATCAAACGTTTTGCGCGCGTTGCATAATATATACGCGTGCGCAGAGAGGCTGTCGCTAGAGAGAGAGATTGGCATTCAGCTTACAAGTCGAACGCAAAATGTGGCTTGCTGGATGAGCGCAGCTATCAAACGCAGCTCATAAACTCCCGGGCTTACATCTCGAGTTATTATATTCCATGCGACGACGATTCAAACGGGGGCTATAGTTAGGCTTAGATATAGGCGTGCGATCGATCGATCGTAATACAAAAAAGAGAGAGGAAGAATAGAAAATAAAAATGATA